GGTCAGTTTCAGCAGCGGCTGAATCTGGACGCCAGTTCCGACTTACATACAGATTCAACTTAAGAACAAACCTACAGTCCCTATCTTGTACGTAACCCGGGGACTGCCTGTAACTGGGGATTATCCTGTGGTTAGAATTTTCCTCCCAAGCTGCCCTGGTGACCCTGCTAGGAAGGAGTGAGGGGGGTGGAGGCACCGCCAAATAAATTCGTAGGGAAACATAAAGAGGATACACTGTGCTGAGTGGGTGGTGGGATCCAGAAGAACCCCGACCTGTCCATCAAAACCTGTAGGCAGATTGGCATTAAAGAAGGTAACCGGGTGGAGAGGGGGCGCTACACACAGATTGTCTCATAGACTGTGTGGGCCCTTTACACCCTACATGCCAACCTGTGACTGATCTGTCAGGATTCAGAGTCAACTGTTCAACAGCCTTCAATAGGCAGCCTGATTTGTGGTACTATGATCAAATAAAGTGCAGTGATGTCTGGGAAGTGTTTTGGATCTGTGATACTAATACAAAACTGATTTTATAGAGTGTGAAGAGCCATGTTGGGAGTGACCCTGTGTCGAGCTACCATCTACCTCAGCCATATGTGTAAGCAAGTAGATAAGCAGCTATCCTGTGGGTTTCTGTGGTACCAGTAAAGGCTTCAGGATCAGGCTATTAGTTTTTTGATCAAGGGCCTAGGCAGCATTTGTTGAAGCATGAATAGTGCATTGCTTTCCAAAAGGAAGGTATTAACTATTCTTAGTAATATACCAAAGGTATCGCTGCCAGCTTAAGCCAGCTATTAAGGGCTGGGGCCCATCTCACAGATGGTTGGCAGTAGCTCCCAAAGTGTACACACAGTTTCAATAAAAAACTTGTCAGGAAAAATCTGGTAAAGCCAATACATTTCCACTAATTTTTCCTAAACACCTGTGTCATCTCACTCTCTCAGCCACCTGTTCAGTGCTTAGGTAGGATTTGGGCCACTCAGTGTTCCCTGTAAACTGTGCACTTGAGTGGCTGCCCAGGAGATATTCCAATGCCACTCAGCTAATTAGCAGAGCACCCAGAGCTGGCAGCATGTGTTTCTACTGGTCCTGCACATTCACACATAGCTCAGTGCACATAAAATTTATTCTGCACACGGATGGGAAAAAATAGAGGGAACATTGGTGTGGACCTACCCTTGGTGCAGAGTACAGTGTGTATATTTTCAGACTTAGATCTCCTATGGGCAGTGCCTTCCAGACAGAGGTGATGGTAAGCTGCTTCTCCCTGGTGCAGTGCTCCAGCAAGAAGAAGCCAACTGGGTGGCGCGCTTCCAGCTGGGCTCCTGGGGCTCTTCTGCAGGCTGCCTTGCTAAGAAGCAGGCAGGTTAAAGGGGCTGGTTGGGAGCATGCATGCCCTCGGCCCCTGTCTGGGGCTGCCGTAGCCCCTAGCCCTCTCCTCTCCCTCCCTGCGCTCTTTAGGGAAGGTGGGGAGGCTATGGCTGTGTGTGCCTGTAACTCTGATGCCCTTCCCCTGACTATCAGGGAGCAAGGGGAAAACGTACAGCTTGTGTGCAGCCTTCTCACTCCCAGCTGCCCAGGGGAGGGGCAGAGGAGAATGTACGTAGGCTGTGCACTTTCTCCTTGCTCCTTGAGAGTCAGGGGAAGGAGAAGAGGAGCAACAGGGACCTGGTATGTGTGTATGCAGCCCCCCCTCCCAAAATGGCATCATTGCCTCCCCCACTCACCCCTACACACAGCCCAATCGCCTGCCCTGAGCTGCCTGTCCCGAATTTTGTACCCTCTATCCTTCCTTTTCTGTGCCCCCCACACCTGCAGCTCCCTGCCCTAACTCCTGAACCCCTACACCAGTGTTTCTTAATTTTTTTAAGACCGAGGAACACCAAATAATTATTTTTTATGAGGAACACCAAAAAAAAAAAAAAAAGTTGGGGGAAAGTTATTGAGACAAAAGGGCGGCCATTTTGAATTCTGTTGTTCTCCGCAGCACACCGGTGTGCCGCGGAACACAGTTTAAGAAACGCTGCCCTACAAACTCCAGCCACCTGCCCGGATTCCTGCACCCCCTATGCCCTCCTGCCCTGTGCCTCTCCTCTCTCCCCAACCAAGTCCTGCACCCCCCATGCTCCCCACTTCTCTGAGCCCCCCCTCCACCCCAGACTTAAATTTCTTACAGGTATTGTCATATTGCACACTCCCTCCCAATCTCCTGCCCTGAACCCCACCAAGGGGGGTGCAATAACACAATACCTGTAAGAAACTTAAGTTACTTCCCCCCTGCTTCCAGACAAGAGGGAATTACCTGTGCAATGAAGATTTAGACTGCAATGCTCGTCTCTTGCATCACAGTTGTGTGAATTCCTTGACAAGAGGAAGTGAGGGTGTGGGTGGTGGTGGTGGTGGGGGAGCCTTTCTCCATCTTTCTTTTAGGTACAACCAGAATGAAGTTTCTCTTGGGAAGAAATGGAGAGTGGTGAGTGGTTAATTTGGATTGTGTGTGTGCTGCATCTATTTACAGGGGCGGATATAGGGCAGGGCGAGCGGGGCAGGCGCCCCGGGCCCTGCGCTTCAAGAAGCCCCATGTCAAAGGGAGGACCCTGCGAAATTGTGATGCTCTGAGCCCCGCAAAATCGTCATCTGCCCTTGTCTATTTATATTGCCATCTGTTGCCACCTGGATAAGGGAGGAGTGATGAAGGTTCAGGCCATCATTCTGGGAGACTCATAAAGGCTGGTGCCTTACATCTCCTCCCATTTTAGATTTGACTTACCCTCCTGCTTGATTTCTCTGACCAGCTTGGCCATCCTCAGGGGGGCATCCCTACATTTCTCTCCTTGGCCTCCCCAGACTGTGACTAAGTAACTCCATTGTCTACCTAGAACCTTGGGCGGCCGCAGAAGGTAGGTCTGGGGGAGACCTGGGTCTAAGCTTCTCCAAGGCTTGGATATGGGAGTTCTGGGATAGACTCAGCTCTGGTGATGAGAATGGGAAGATACCAGCAACAGTAACAATAGTATCTGAAAGGTGAATGTCAAACCAACAAAATAGTACTTGCTGGATGTGTATTTTCCTTACACTCATATAATAATAGCAATAGAAAGCATCAAAGGCAGTGCATGCCAGTCATCTGTAAAACTGAACACACATTTAGGCAGCATTTAGCAGTATTTTAGACACTTGGGTTCTTTTTTTACTCATTTCAATTAAGTCAATGGAAGAGGGATTAATGGATAAACAGTTATGCTTATATAAAGTTAAGGTCAGGACACTCTCTTCTGAATAGCAAGGACACTGGTAAGCCTGGCTCTCAGATATCTGCGTGACACGCTGCAGTATCAAGGCATAAGGGCACAAGCTCATAAGTGAATTCCACCTTTGAATTTCCTTCCTGTTGTCAGCTTGTACTGCAAAGCTAATGTTACTTAATCCTGTAGAGTCTGATTCTCTAAGCATTCAGTGCCCAGAATTTGCAAGGCTTACGGTGGCAGTTTTGTGTGGGTTTCTTTTGCAGGATTGGCCCATATTTTGTATGTTACCAGCAGCTTGGTCATGTTAAATTATTAACATTAGAACTAGCTTAAAAGACTTCAGATGCAAGAAAGGAAAATTACATATCTTGAGATGCCTCTTCCTGGTGCATTCTGTTGAACAAGTACTGACAGGGTGACAAAGTGCTCTTGTCTTCTGCTCTCTCTCTGCAGACTAGCTGCCCTTTCAGCTTCTAATAACCCCAGTGCAGTCTATTTCATTTGCTCTCCCCATAACCTTTCTGTTCCACACCATCCTAGGTACAGTTTCTCCTCAGATCTCTGCTGAGGAGAAAGCATTCTCTCTCCAGAGACTGGTTCTCATTCACTCTCCTGCACTGCATTCTTGAGTTTTCTTATATCTGCTGTGTTAATGGGCCGATTTCCTCATTAGTCCTCATCCAATCTATTGTAATCCACTAATTAGGCCCTGTCAGGTTCACGCTGGGGAGAATGATTTGGTGTGTAAGTGACCAGAGTGCTATCTCAGCTCTTGGTTCCTAGCACTCTGACACAAACTCACTACTGAGTAGTGATGGCAGTTAAAATTGAACCATGTTCAGTGATTATGTTATATACTAAAGCAAACCTACGAGTAGGATATAGTATTCTTTTTTTTATCTTGTTCAGTGCAAAGCCCCAAATGGTTCCTGATGATGATGAAAATGGAATGTGAGCTAAAATGTTTTCAGACATCACAGTCAATTAGAGGGGCCTGTTATTGTTGGTTTAATTGTAACAGCCTCTCTAGCTGACTTGTATATTGTATGCAGTTGTATATTATTAATTTCCTTTTCCTGGTAGAATGAAGTTGAGTTGGGAGAGCTGCTGCTATCGCTAAATTACCTTCCCAGTGCAGGAAGACTGAATGTAGACATTATTAGAGCGAAACAACTTCTTCAGACAGATATGAGCCAAGGTTCAGGTAAAGTAAAGGGCAGTGTATTTTTCAGATCACTCCTTCATGTTTGTGTGTGCTCTGAAATTATCGTGTATACTTAGGCTGCCATTTTTGAAGCCACTTAATGAGTTGGATACTCACTTCATATTAAAATTAATGCATGGCTTTGAAAAGCTCCAGTATATGTGTTTTTTTTTAAAAGCATATAAATCAAACATTGAAAATTCAGTTCTACTGGCTGGAGCGCAGGACTGAGAATCAGGAATTTCTAAATGCTATTCCTGCCTCTTTTTATGTGGTTTAGGGTTATTTCTTAACGTATGCGCTTTGCTTTGCAGCTGTAGAGTGGTGTGTGTGTGTTAAATATAAAGATGGTTTCATTCTGCAATACTTATGATTTTTTATGGTATCTACCCACCTCTCTCGTGCTTTACCTGAGTATGGAGAAAGGCCTGTTTCACTCGCCTGCCAGCTGGTGATTTCCCTTCTACTCCACAATATATTTCCCTGACTCCCTACACCAGCTGCTGCTGCCGTCAGATTGTTGAAATCTGTCAGCGAGAGATGGCTTCCGTCCAGGCCTCCATTCACTGCATTCCATGCAGAGCCAAGAGAAACATTCTGAACTCTCTGCCTGAGCCTGGTATATCTCCACTGCAAGCCACCTGGTACCTTGACATAAGAATCCGGATCCCCAACTCCCTTCCCAACCCCCAAGCTATTTTTCCTCCACAATGAAGCTTCACACTCCCGATCCACCTATGCAGAACATTGACATTTCTGAGACAGGAACATTGACTGCCTGTAACTGTAAAGCTGGAATTACATAAGAACATAAAAATGGCCATACTGGGTCATACCAAAGGACCATCTAGCCCAGTATCCTGTCTGCCGACAGTGGCCAATCCCAGATGCCCCAGAGGGAGGGAACACAACAGGTAATCATCACGTGATCCCTCCCTTGTCACCCATTTACAGACAAACAGAGGCAAAGGACACTATTTCTGCCCATCCTGGCTAATAGCCATTGATGGACCTAACCTCCTGCGTTTGTGTTTCTCTCAGATCCCTTTGTGAAAATTCAGCTGGTTCATGGATTAAAATTAGCAAAAACCAAGAAAACCTCTTGCATGAAGGGTACGATAGATCCTTTCTACAATGAGTCCTTCAGCTTCAAGGTTCCGCAAGAAGAACTGGAAAATGCCAGCTTAGTATTTACAGGTAAAAGCATTCTTGCTATTGATTTGATGCTATTGTGGCTGTCTCAGAGGGAAATGAATTAGCTGCCCCAATGCATGCACTTTCGCCTACACAGAGGCATCCTCTTTTTCAGCAAACTATCATTTATGGGCCAATCAGCTCTGGCATTTCTAGAGGAGCTTAATGAACATCACATTTCTCTGCATAGAAGCTTTCCTGGCGCTAGCACCTGTAGCATGGAATTGTCTAGGAACTCACCTTGTCATCATCGCTCTTCATTGGCGCTGCTGGGAAAGCGTTTCCACTGAGGAGAGAGGCAGGCTAATTAAACTGGGCCTTACACTGCTTCATAGAGAAGACAGAGGAATGAGGTGGAAGGAAGAATCTGATGATAGTCCACCTAGACCTTTAAATAATAATTGTTTTGGGATGCCACGTAATTTTTACTTTGAGGACTGTGCACATGCCTTGTACTAGCCCATTATACATTGGCACATAAATTGGTTTGTTTATGCCTGTACTTTTAAAAGGGCATTATTAAGTACAGGTTGAAATTTGGGAATCTCTGGTCGGCCAATATCTGTGATCTGGAAGGATCGCGGATATTGCTGGACCAAACAGCCCCAACTGGCCAGGTTCAGGGGCTGGGCTGGTGGTGGGGAGCATGGGGCCGGCATGGTAATGATGGGAGCCCAGCCCAGCCTGGGAGCACAGCCCCAGTGGTAGCAGGGCTGGCACAGCGGGGAGTGCAACCCAGACTGGAGCCTGGGCCTATGTCTACACTGCAATGCTATTTTGGAATACTGGAGGATCCTGAAATAGCTATCCCGTGTCTTCACAGTAAGCCCATTATTTCGAAATATAACAGGCTCGCTATTCCGATGTCCCTGTAAACCCCATTCCACGAGGAGTAAGGGACATTTCAGAATAGTGAGTTATTTTGAAATTTGGAGCTGTGTAGACAGCGCCAAATGATGAAATAAGCTATTTCAAAATAAGATTGAAATAAGATCCACAGTTTGCGTGGCTCAAATTGAGTAGCTGATTTGGAGCTACAGTGCAATGTAGATGCACCCTGGAGTGCAGCTGGAGACTGCATGCTGGGGAGTGTAGACCCAGGCAAGAAGTGTAGCCCTGGCAGGGCTGGGGGCAGCAGGCCTGTGATGGGTAGTAGGGGCAACAGCCAGGAGGGGAGCCTTGACCTCCCCTAGTTTGGCAAACTCTGTTGTTTGGGACCACTCAGGTCCCGAGGGTGCTGGATCAGGGAGGTCCCACCTATACTGACCTTCCAGAGTAAGTGCTGGGATTTATTATTCACTGTTTGGATTTTGTTACACTCTGAAAGGTAACGATGGGTCTAAAGCAAAATCTCAGACCTGAAAACTCACATGAACGTGGGGACTATTTGGATCCAGGTGGGAACTTTGTCACATCACTAAGAAGTGGAAAGAGCCAGAGCTGTCCTATCTATAGGACAAATTAGCCTCCAGCCCTGCATTTTTGGGGCCCCCACAGTGGCTGCCTCAACTATCCTATGAATGGGAGAGACCTGAGGAATTATGGGGGTTTGGCATGGTGGCATTAGGAACCCCCTCCCCCAATTGCCACTCAGGCAGTGGGAGCCTGAGTCACCTGGCAGCCTTCTCCGCTGCCCTCCTGGCCTGCTGCACTCAGCTTTTTTTTCTTTTTTTGCAATGTTCCAACAATGTTTCTGAGCCATTGCAAAGATAATCTGCACCCAAAAGAAAATATTATGGTGAAGCTCTTACATCTGTTTCTGCTATGGCAGAAATGGATGTTAAATCAGCATAAAATGCTGAAATTCAATCCATTAACTTGTTTCCAAACATTTCATAACATAATTGATGCTCATCAGCATTTTAAATCTTGCCCTTCATGCGCAGAAATTTCCAGCACAAGAAGGCTATATTTAAACACGGCTTGACATGCACACCATCTTGATTGTTCCCATTCATGTGTAATGATGAATTTGTTCCTGGAGTCTTCATCCAGGTGATCTCTTTCTGCAGGAGAGAAATACTCCTTACCTACAAAAACCAGCTCTCCATGATCAGGAGCAAGAAATGAAATACAGCACAATTCATTTGAGTAAATGAAGTTGGTGTCAGATGGCTGGATGACTGACCTTTTATTATGGATAAATATTATTTTTTTTTAAAAAATGAGTCAATCAGAAGCTAACTGATTCATATATATATTTTTTTTAAATGAGTCAATCAGAAGCTAACTGATTCATAAAAATAAATGGTCATATGTTGTTACACAGCTATCAGATGTAACTGATGAGATTTGAAATGATCATATCCCAGGGCTGTTCATAGCAGAAGGCACAGAATAGTCATTGTTGAAATCTGTGACCTACTACTGCATCATCAAAACACAGTAGTTGGCAAGGGCCAGATTCTGACAGCCTGCCTCATGTTAAGTAGTATAGCACTCTGAGAAGCCCTGTTCCTCTTGACATTACTTAGGTTCCAGCCCAGATTAGGGCCCCTTTCTGCTATACAAACCTATGGTGAGAGTCTGGAGTATTGTGTGGCATGATTGGTTCATGCTTGCAGAGTGCTTTGAAATCCTCGGAAGGAAGATGACAATAATCTGCACTTCTGCTTCATCAGAGCTGAATTTCTGTCTGTAAAAATAAGAGGAGCAGAATCCAGATCTTTTCATTACCCCTGTGTGCACAACGGGGATTAAAGCCACTTCCTTTTTTTCTTTTTGTTCTTGCTTGCACTAGCATCCCCTAAGTCAGTTAATTAAATTTGCTGATGAGAAAAGAGCCAGTTAGACAGGAAAGCAATCATGCTGCAAAGGGTGGCTCTTGATTCCATGAAGGTCTGTAGATCTGTAAAAGCACCCAGGCCAGCCAGGAGCTAGATCATCTTCAATAAACCATGTCAGTAGCTTCAGATTTTGGATGAGAGCCACAGCTGTCTTAAGCTGGCATAGTTTCATTGAATTCAGTGGAGCAATGCCAGCTTACCCAGCTGAGGATCCTGGCACTATTTGTGTAGCTGGTGTAGCTGAGCTAGCATGCTAAAATTAGTGGTATAGCAGCAGCTGCAATGGGTGGTAGGATGGGCAAGCCTCCACTGTGCTAGCCTGCAGTGCTGGACATCCTGGGGTCACCTACCTGCCTGCCCCCTCCTTGCTGTGATGCGTCCAGCCTCCATTTCCCTGAACCCCACTAAGCCACCTTGACCCCAGTCCTATTCCCAGGAGTACCCTGCCCCCCATCTCCCTGAACCCCCTCAGCCATTCTGCCCCCAGCTTTAACCCCATGCACTTCCTGTCCCCATCTCCTGCCCCTGGCCAGACACCCTACCCCCAGTCTGCTCTTGCACCCTCCCTCCTGGCCAGACACCCTACCCCCAGTCCACTTCTGCACCCTTCCTCCAGGCCAGATTCTGCACCCTCTCTCCTGGCCAGACACCCTACCCCCAGCCTGTTCTTGCACCATCCCTTGCTCCTGCTCCCTCCACCTGGCCAGACACCCTACTCCCAGCTGGCTTCTGCACCCTATCTCCCACCCAGACCTGGCACCCTCACCCCCTTCTGCACCCCACTTCCCTCCCAGATCCTGCACCCCATTCCTATCCCACTCACTGGCAACCCTGTCCCACACACTGAACCCCTCATGTTTGTCCCCACTCCAAAGCCTAAGAGGTTCCATAAAATCCACTAACTCCAGAACCCCAGAAATGTATGGCCTATGGAAGCCCTGAACCTCAGTCCTCCCTGTTGCTTCCCTTCCCCTCACCCTGTGGGGCGGGAACGCCAGAGGAGTGAGGTGTCTCAGTTGGTGGCCACATCAGTGAGCATTGGGGAGTCTTTAGAGGAGGTTTTTTTGCTTCTCACTTGTGTGGTCCCCAACTGATTTTTCTGTGGGTCAGTGGCCCTGACACAAAAAGGTTCCCCACCTCTGCCATAAATAAAGAAAACATTGAAACCTTTTATGTTGGACACAAATTAATATTTTATTTGATTTAAAATGAAGTTTGATAAACCAACATGGGAAAGTTAAAGCACTTCGTCTGTTTAATAATTTAAATTAAATCCATCTCCCTAGCTGCAGCACCAGCAAAATGGATTGGGCGTAATTATATAATTAACAGGGAATTTCCATTATCAACTGGTGGTCCACAGGCCAAAAAGTTTGAGAGCCACTGCTTTTTGAGAGCCACTGTATTTTTCTTGTGTACATTTGTTTAACAGTAAGACTTGTGTGTGTATTTTTCTTGTGTACATTTGTTTAAACTGCATTGTTTTAAGGGTACTGTGGAGGAAAGCGCATACAGGCGCTGTCACTTTTAATGAAGGTCTGCAGAGGTGGATATGGGTGTACAGGGGTGCATAAGCGCTGGTGAATGCTGACTATTGTCACTTTGTTGCTAAAATGGCAATTGCTTCTCTATTTTAACATAAAAGTGTGCCTCACATGAATACATAAAGCCCAACACATCTGTGGAAATTCAGCACTTGGTAATAAATAGTTTGTCATGGTGGAAAAACAAATTAGACACACTTGTCACTCTCCTAGATGACGTAGAATTAGCTTGGACAGTCATAAGCACAATCCTGTGAAAAGCAGTGGAGGCCATCCCAGAACTGAAATGCTACATACGATGCCTCCAGCTGTACAGTGGGATGTTTCATGTATTGCAAAAGAAAAAGACAGTGCTCTGCTGCCACTGATCATAACATTTATGAGGTATTTTTCAAGTGTGAGCAAAAGTGACTCCTAAAGCTTGTTTTGAGAACTTGGCAAAAGAGGGGAAGAAGACCTAATTACTACAGGCATTCAAAGCTATCTAGTCACTTCAGTCCAGAAATGAACTTTGCATGGGATCTGTGCTGACTAACAAGGCAGATGGTAAAACATGCTCTGCCCAAGAAAAAGTTCTATAAACTTTTGTAGCTGTATCTATATTGGAAGATGTTTGCTGTTCCATAAAGAAACAATGAAGTGCATGTGCTGCCGGGTCTGACGGCATGATTCC